AATCAGTTTCGTGCGTGCAAAAGTAGAACTTAGTAAGTACCAGCAAACATGTTAGGACTGATTTTGCTTAACTAACGGTCGAGATTGGCAATCTGAGAACATAACATGTTAGGATAGTTGAAGGAGCAAGAGAGAGTGATGCATGGAGAGAAAATTACCCATCAAGTGTGACATGTTGTTGGCGAAGAGAATCGGCAAGACCAAGAGCATCTAAGGCCTTCCATGCATTTGTCCATGTTGTGAATGCAAAACCTGTTGTCCTCAAACTATCAGATGATTCCAACACCAAGCTTCTAATCCCCAGCCTGCACCCAGAAATTTCAATTTTGATTCCGACCACAGTAACAAATATATGAACCATGAACATTAACATGTGTGTATGAGAGAGAGAGAGAGAGAGAGAGAGAGAGAGAACCTGTATGATTGCATCCTTAAAATCAGCAGTGAGATTGATGCACCATTCCATATGAACTCTTGTCATGGAGTTCAACGACTTATCCAAGCCTGGAATCTCAGTAAGTTTTGGGGAGCGATTAAGGTGCAATTCTCTCATGCACAACATTCTTGAAAAATTTGGCATTTCTTCCAATGCAATGCACTCATCCGCTTGAAGGATTTCCAGATTAGTTGGTAAATCTGGGATCGCCCGAAGGTTTGCGCAATTAGTCAATTGTAAACTTTGAAGCCTGGAAAGCCTACTAAGGGTTGGTAACCCATTAAAAACATTGCCTCTTAGATCTAACTCTTCTAAAGAAGTTAGATCCCCAAGATCTTCAGGAATTGCTTCATCAGTTAAGTTGCAGTCCGCAAGGCACAAATATTTAAGGGTTTTCAGTTGTAGTATAGAATGGTGAATCTCAGACAAACTGTTGCAGCCTTGGAGTATCAATTTCTCGAGATTTGGGAGTTTTGAAAAGTCCGGTGATTGTTTCAGGCGATCGCAATAACCAAGATTAAGAAACTTCAACTTCTCAAGTGGCTGTGAGACAAAAGGGAAAACAAACGTCAAAAAACCAACTAGATGAGAGAAAGCATGACGTTGGTATTTAAAAGACCTGGAGGAAAGAATTAATGATTTGGTTGAGATTATATTGTACCATGTCAGAATCCTTCCAAACTTGTATCCGGCTATGACTCAGGTCGATATCGACTATGTTTGGTTGATTGAAATCTTCTGGTATGGCTTCTGGAGGAAACCCAGGCCAACACAACCATCTTAACCTTTTGGAAAGATGTTTGCAGTCCCCCGTGAACTTTACACCTTTGAGTTTGAGCAATCTGAGTCCCTGCATGTTTTTCAATGCTTCAGCACTGAAGCTAGGCTCGTGAGATCCTTGCAAATCTAATGTGACCCCTTCAATTCTCTCTGTCCCCTGTAAGAAAACACAAAAGGAAATAGGTAAGAAGATGCTAAAGGAAATAAGTAAGAAGACGCTAAATTGCAAGTGAAAAGATTATTTGTACACATGAAGCAAAGCCGTAAACTGGATGCATGAACTAAAAGAGAGGTGTAGGCAGCATTTATTATCTACTATCAGCTGCTGCGGTACCTCTGGATCAAAGAAATATATGAGTTCTGTTTTACAAACTCTCTACATTGGTTAGGTATCTTTGCCAGCTTCTGGCACAGGAGTTACATTTTCCTTATTGTATTTATGATAATTCAATCAATCAGTTTCTATCTTACACTTTCCTTTCTCTGCTTTATTTCTCTTTTCATTCAACCAGCAGTATAATGTTTGTTGACACATTCTGGGCTTACAATTTATGAGACGGGGATGCATATATACTTCTCTTTTATTATGTACATGCATTTAATCCAATTTGATTGTGAATGTACTTACAGAATTGGTTATCAATACGTCTGTTACATCTTCAGGATCCCACAATCTGCTACGTTTTCCTTTGATGCCAGGAGATTTTTCACGTACGATTTCTCTGCCCATATCTCTAAGCAAATCATGCATCATCAGGTTGTTTCCTTCATCAACACTTACAAGGCATCGATCATGGAGTTCTCCAATTCCTAATAATGGATCAAAATCACAACCATCCAATATTGCCGTGACATGGTCCTTCTTCATTCCAATAAAAAAACAACATATATCAAGGAAGATAGCCTGCACTTCATCATCAATTAGCCCATCATAGCTTATTTTAAGCTTTTCATGAATTTCCCCATGAGGCTTTCTTTTCAATTTACGCAATGCACTTCTCCATTCTCTTTTGGTTCTTTTACATAGATAAGAACCTAAAACTTCAAGCGCCAGTGGCAAACCTCCACAGTATTCAACAACTTTTCTTGAAAGTTCAAGATATTCTTCATCGCTAGGATGACGCTCAGTAAAGGCACGACAACAAAGGAGTTGAATAGCTTCTTCATTAGTCATTGCTGGTGGAAAATATGTATCATCTACTTCGAGTATCCTTAGAAAATGCGCGTTTGTTGTTGTTATAATAATTCTACTCCCTGAACCAAATGAGTCACGTTTTATAGCTAACTCATCTAATTTTTTCTGACAATCAACATCATCAATTATGACAAGTGCCCTTATGCTGCTAAGTCTTTTTTTTATCTCCTTCGTCCCTTCAGCGATACTACATACCTCTTTCTTGGCCGGTTTCAAGATATCACAAAGAAGTTGATTTTGCAATTTAACCATATCCCCTTCCCTCACTTTTGAAAGGAAACTTTTGCCTTCAAACTTTTGATGAAATTTGTTGAAAATGGCTTTTGCAACTGCTGTCTTACCCATTCCGACCATACCCAAAATGCCAACAATGCGAACATCATCTGGTCCTCCAACATTTAAATAGTTACTGACTTCTCGTACACGAGATTCTATTCCAATTTGGTTGGTGGCTACGTCTAAGCATGTGTTGTTCAGTTTTCTAGTGATGTGGTCGATAATTTTCCTTATAAATTTTCCTTCATACCTGGCAGTTCAAATTAAAAATGAAGTAAAGGTAAGTTTTAAGATTTATTATGCAGCTGCAGGATTAAACTTAAATTTGAACAGCTCATTGGCAAGGTGTAAAATAACAGATTATAAGCCTTATTCACACATAGCAAGGAAGTGTTTGTGTACCCAGCAAAAACAAAAACAAAAACAAAAAATAGTTTGTGTAATTACCCATCAGTGTTTCTAAGATTTGCACCAGCCAAATTTGCAGCTTCAGTAAATGCATATCTCCACCTCTGTACTTTATCTTTATCATCACGGAAACGCTCTTCATGTCTCCGAAATGCTTGTGAAAAGCTACCAGTTTGTTTCCTGACATGCGTAGGATCAACATTGTAGAAAACTGGCAAAACCATTTGCCCCGATCTTGCTCTTCTACACTCCATGATCTTCTCCAGCTCCTCAAGACACCATGTGGAATCCGCATACCTCTTCGAGAAGACGATGACAGAGATCCTTGACCGTTCGATTGCATGCTTCAGTTCGTCTGGTATATTTTCCCCTCTTCTTAGCTCGTTCTCGTCAATGTAGGCGTTGACCCCGTTGTCTTTTAGTGTCCAGTAGAGGTGGTCTGTGAAGGTCTGGCGTGTGTCTATGCCTCTAAAGCTCAAGAACACGTCGTATTTCCAATGTTCTGTGGAAGAGGAGGGTGGGGATGAAGAGGAGGCTTCAAGGGCTGTACTGGCGACATCCATGGATTGTTCTCGATAGAGGTTTGTGTTTTACACAGATGATATGGAAATGGAAATACCGCAAGTCAAGTCAACTCCTCGTTTCAGTCCACAAAGGTAAAGGCGGACCATACCAGTTTTTTTTTAAAGTCAAAAGTCATTCTTGGCTTACATAGTTTGTTGAGTAAATCTCCACCCCCTTGCTACCTTTCACTGAAAAACAAAATACGAGAGTTATAGTGGTAAAATCCGCCAACTACTGGGACCGAAAGTAAATTTTTGCGTTTCTTTTTTCTTTCTAAAATGGTGTTAACTTTTACCTTCTGCTATTTTGACCCCCAAAAAATAAAAATATGAAATAAAATAAAATCCCTTTTCCTTCTGCTGTCTCTACCCTCGCGACCAGGTCAGCTTTCCACCTCCTCCCTCTTTCTCCTTTCTTCCTATCCTGGCGTCACGACTCACAAATTCTTTCTTGTCAGTTGGGGAATCAGGTTTGGTCCAGAATCAGAGGGCTATTTCTCGTCATCGTTTTCCTTATGTAAAATTCTTATTCATCATCAGAGAGGCTGGGTCGTTGCAAGGAAAGGAGCAACCAGGTTTTTCATCTTTCTTTTGAATCTCTTCTAGTTTTTCTCATTTACTTCGTTACCTTATGCCGATTTCCCTTTCTGAAAACCCATCGTATTTCATTTTGGGGCTGAACAGAGATCTAGCCGCGATCGGATGAACGGCTCTGATAGCAGATTATAGGTACCTTGCCAGAGAATTTTTAGAAAAAGGAAATAGACAGATAGAGAGATAGGAAAAGATTCATAATTTTGCCCTAGATAGAGTCAGGCAATTTATACAAGTATCTCCTATGAGATACATCCGAGGCTAGTAACATTATTCAATACAGTAGGGAATGTATAGATGGTATTTGTACAAGTAGCTGGGCCTGTAGACGGGTCTCAGCAGAGTGATTATGGAGGTGTTGGTTTTGTCTGTGACAAATTGTTTCGACTACCAAGTTGTTTAGCTGCTTCTTTTTTGATGCAGGAGCATCTATTAGACTTCCTAATCTAAATAGGCTCATCAGCCAATAAGGCTAAATTTTAGTTATAATAAATTAATAGGTTATTTTATTATTTGTTTTCCTATTCTTACTAGGATTTGGTTCAATTTCCTGTTTTGGTTTTAATTTCCTTCGTCAATTAGGGTTTCTTATTAAACTAAGAATAGGAATACTTGGCTGGTGTATTCTAGTATAACTAGGCTATTTAGAGACTCTTGTATTTAGTTTTTGTTGATGAATATAATTTCAGACGTTAGTCTATAGAGTTTCTGTTGGGATTTTGCCCTATAACTCAATTATCTTGGTACCAACTTCAATTCTATTGCTTTATGCTTCTATTCTCTGTATTTTGGGTATGTTTGGGTCATTGGACAGCAGCTTATAGGCCGCTGCCCTGCATCATTTTTGCTTTGCTGGGTTACTCTAGGGTTAATTGTTTTTGGTAGACTGAAATGAGGGTTTGAATATTCAGTATTATTATCTGTGCAGCACACGACCTTTTTCGTAAAAATTAATCAGACGAAACAACTTGTTCAGCATACAAGTCTGCAGTAACAATATTAATGGATACCAGTATAGTGGATGAAGCCTCCTCTCCATCCTCTTCATCCTGCTCCTCAAATGATGAGATGTATGATGTGTTCTTGAGCTTTATCGGCGTAGACTCACGCAAGACCTTCACGGACCACCTCTACTGGACATTGAAAGACGCTAGAGTCGACGTCTTTATTGCTGAGAATAAACTAAGAGGACCAAAACTGATGCAAGCAATTGAACAATCCAGAATCGCTGTCATCATCTTCTCAAGTTGGTATGTATTTTCCATAGGGTGTCTTCGGGAGCTGGAGAAGATCATGGAGTGTAGAAGAACATTAGGGCAAATGGTTTTGCCAATTTTCTATCATGCTGATCCTAAAGATGTCGGGAGACAAATCGATAGTTTTCCAGTGCACGACCGTGGAGTTAAAGTTTGGGAAGAAATGATGCGGTCATGGAGAAAGTCTCTAATTGAAGCTACAAATTTGTGCGGCCTTGTTTATACGAAGAGTGATGGGTAACTACTTATTTCCATCTCTTTGTTTTTTCTTTTCTTCTTATTCTTAATGTTTTTTCCGACCTATTTTTTGCAGACCACCACCATGCATTATTTCAGTGATTCCTTTTTGCAATATTTAAGTGCCAAAATCATCCTTGGTTTTTATCAGTGTAATGCAGAGCTTAGGATCACTGATACGAGAATTTATAAACTCTCTCTTTCTATCACACGTGTGGTCAGATATTATTTATAGTTAAATATATTTCCATTAGTGTTTTCAGAAGTTTACAAAATCTTAGTGGGATTCCGAGATTTTGATTCAGCAATTTTGGATAAATGTTGAACTAATACATTCAAATCTTATTCAATCCCAAGCTCTGTAGTCATAATGAATAAGATAGTAGTTAAGTGGCCTAATAAATCTTACTTTTGCTCAATCTTGAATTTTAACTAACAGGTATGAAGGAATGTTTATCAGAAAAATTGTTGACGAGATCACCAGAAAATTGAATAGCACATGCGTAGACATAGTCACCAAACAAGTAGTAGATTCTATGTTGCAAGAAATCGGTAATGATTTAACAGTTCAAGTTGGAAAGGATTCTCGCTTGCAAGAAATTAGTACTCATTTAGATGTTGGAGGCCCAAATGATACTCGCATTCGACTCCGAGGCAAAAGGCCCTCCCCTCTCAAAGTCAACAAAGAGTCGGACAAAGAAGCAAGCACCACATGGCCATGGGACAAGGGTCATCGAAGCCAATCTTAGTGAGTTCAGGTCCTTAGTCCAACGCTTTACCAGCGCTTCCTCTTCACCGCCCTCCGGTGATGGTGGCCTCTCACCAGCTGCAAGACTCACCTCCATCAACAAAACAAGCCCTAATTGAAGGCAGCCGTTAGCCACTGTTGAAGGCAGCTGATGCCACGTGTAAGCTATCCAACAGCCAGATTTGAATTGCTTTTTAATTTTTTCAATTAAACTGCAAAGGTGACTATATGTCCAACAGCTCTGTAGTGCAATCTCATTGATTTATTTTCATATTTGGCAGGGAACTTGCACTCTCATTGATTTCTTCTCTATTTACAAAAAGCACAAGAGAATGGAATTGCATTGGATAAATTGAAAACACTTTGTCCTTGGGAAACTCACGTGAAGCTTAAAATAAGGTATGTTCAGCTAGCTGATGATTGCCTGAGAGATACATTGCTTGATATATCTTTGTTTCTTCATTGGAATGAACAAGAACTATGTCATGCATTTATTGGACGGTTGTGGCTTTTCTCCAGTAATAGGAATGAGCCTTTTAACTGTTGGTGATAAAAAACAAGCTGATGATGCATGGTTTGGTTCAAGATATGGACAGAGAAATCATACGTGCAAAATCTTTACATCCATGGAAGGCCTAGTAGATTGTGGAATCATAAAATGTAAAACACCTACTGAGGAACCAATTGGTAACATTTGCGATCAATTGTATTACATGCATGTAGGTAACGAAAGAGAAGTATATGTATATCCCACATCTAATAAATTTTATGCCCAGGACGTGCCAACAATATACAATGAGGTTCCGACCAGGTACAGTATAATCATAACCTCAACCAATTTATTAGTCTGTTCCATCAGGTTCTGTAAGTATCAGCATCATGCTTTCTTTCTTTTATTTTATTTTTTATTTTTGTTTTTGGTTTTTCTAACAGTTTCTTTGGATGTTGAAGTCTCTTGATCTCAGACATTCCTCCTGCCTGAAACAATTACCCAAGTTTTCAAGACTACGATATCTCGAGGAATTTATACTCAGAGGTTGTAAGAGTTTGTCTGGGGTCACCAGTCAGTATTATCACTGAAGAACCCTCAGGCAATTTAACGGAAAATGTAGTTCTTAAAGATCTTGGCAGTCTATCTTCTTTAACAAGTTTACGTCTGAATGGAAATTGTTTAACTAGGCTACCTACCTATCCTCAATGGCATTTCCAAGCGTGAAGATTTACCAACAAGTTTGAAATACCTGGAAGCCAATTACTGCTAACAACACCCGATATCAACAAAAAAGTGAAAATCAAGACCAGAGAAAAAAAATAAATGGAGGGTGAATTAACAACTTCATTATGGTTGCCGAATATAATCATTCTATTAATTAACATCAGACAAAAAAAAGCAAGACTCAATCAAATAAAAAAACCAAAATAATGTACATAACCACACATATGAGAGAGAGAGAGAGAGAGAGAGAGAGAGAGAGAGTCCTGTTTTCTTCAACTTCAAATGCCTCTTGCCCTCTTCTCTTAAAAATTCTGCGCGAGCATGAACCTTGTCCCCGCCTTTCAGATTGAGCCCATTGTTTGGTATACGTCCAAGCCAGAGATAATCTTCATGGGGAGTCACTCCGGAGACAGTCCTTGGAAATATGGAAAACACAGTGCGCTGGGTACGATTTGTAACAGTCAAAGAAAGTCTCCCACTAGACTGCGAGTCGTCTGAGGAATAAATGATACACAGAGTCAAGGCACCTATGTCAGAATACGGCACATCGATATAGACAATTTCATCCTCATTGACAGGAATATCATTTCCAGAGAAGAAAAGGCCACCCCCTCCGCTCACGGCCCATCGCTATACCATGTGGAGAAAGTTTTGTGTAAGCATTACAAATCTTGATTGTTCGTGAATGTATGCATGTGAGTCAGAGAAAGAGAGATTACCTCTAGTATGTTCTTCCTAAACCGAGCACTGAGATTGGTGCAGCCTTCCATATGAATCGTTTCCGTGAATTTTGACGAGTCTTCCAAGCCTGGAATATCGTCGAGGTTGCGGCAGTCCTTCAGATCCAATTCTCTCATATTCGACATGTGTGAAACAAATTCAACGCTTTCTAGTGCAGTGCAGTGCGGTAATTCGCTTTCAGGAATTTCAAAGTCATTGGTAAATCACTGATTCGTTGAAGGTTTTTGCAATCATTTAAAGTTAACTCTTCAAGTTCGGAAAGATCTCTGTGGAAATCTACCCCCATTTCCATCCAGACCTAAAAATTTTAAAGTACGTATACGCCCAAGATGTGCAAGAACTTCGTCCTCAGTTAAATTGCAGTACCCAAGATCTAACAATTTAAGGTTGCCCAACCGTCTCATCATGGAACAGTGCTCCCAAGACAAACTCTTACAGCCTCTGAGTATCAATTCCTCGAGAGATGGGAGTCTTGAAAAGTCGGGTAATTTTTTCAGGCAATCGGAAATGGCTGAGAACAAGAGTCTTCAACTCCGAAAGAAACTGTCAGACAAAACGGAAAACAAAAATAAAAAATCAAATAGAAGAGAGAGAGCCTGGGGGAACGGATTAATGAATTAGTTGAGGTTATGATTATACTGTACCACGTTGGAATCTTCCCAAACTCGTATGAGCTTGCTATAGCTCATGTCAATAGCAGCTAGGTTTTTTTGATAAAAATCTTTTGGTATGACCTCCAGAGGAAATCCATGCCAACATAAAAATCTTAACTCTTTGAAAAGATGCTTGTAGCTTCCAGTCAGTTGTACATAGTTGAGTTTGAGCAATCTCAATTTCCACATCCTTCTAAATGCTCCTGTACTGAAGCTAGGATCCTCAGATTCTTGCAAATCTAAAGTGAGTGCTTCAATTTCCTCTGTTCCCTGTTAGAAGCAAAAAAATAAATAAATAAATAAAAGAAGAAAAAAAGAAAAAGGAACGAAGTAAGCAAAGGGTACGTCTGGAAAGCCATATAATTCAATTAAAAGATTTTGAGATAATTCAATAAAACCAGTTCCTCTCTTCTCTATATATCCGAAGTTTACAATTTATAGACACTAGCCTCTCACACGCTCACACATGTGCCAATTGATTTTCTTTTTTCTTTTTTTCTTTTATTTTTAGAATTAAGAAAAGATAACATGGGTAGCTATGTTTCATAAAAATAGGACCTATTATCTGATTTTGTTTTTAATTTTAATTTTTTTAATATGAAAAAAAATGTGGATTTATCATATTATCCTCATTTAATTAATAATTTCAATTTTTAATGTTTGAATTAATCAATGGTATTTTCTGGTATTTTGAATGTTACACATTTCTTTGCCTTTTGCTTTATATATATAGATGCCGTTATTTTTAGTTAAGTAGCTCATGCGCTATTGTAACGTTGGGTTATACTAGTGACCAATTTGACTACATTATTTTTTTAGTGACCAAATTGAAATTATATGTAAAACCCAGTAACCAAAAAGATCTTTAATTGTTATTTTAATGTCACTCTCTCAATTTATTTAACGAAAAACTACTAATATATCTACTGGTATATTTATGTAAATTTGTAAATGTTGGGTTACACAATGATCAATTTGGCTATTTAGTGATAAAAAAAAAATTTAACCCCTTAATCGAATATGTATACACTACATTGTATTGTATATTGTTGGCACGTCCAAGGCATTAAATTTATTAGATGTAGGATATGCATATACTTCTCTAACTACATGCATTTAAACAATCGGATTGCGAATATACTTACAGATTTGTTCTTCAATACGTCTTTTACATCTTCATGATGCCACAATCTACTACGTTTTCCAGGGATGTTAGGGGATTGTGCACGTACAATTTCTCTGCCCATGTCTCGAACCAAATCATGCATCAACTTGTTATGGACACTATTGATCATATGTACCTTAATGTGGGTTTTTTTAAAATGATTTATGTATCTTAATGTGTTGATATTATAATATTGTAATTATGTATCATTACTGTATCTTCATGTGCTGATAATAATGTGAGTAGTATAGATATGGGTGTTGTTAGTACCACTTTGCAAAACCCAAGGGGAGATGTCGTATAGTAGTGTAGCTCGAAAGTCTGAGTGTTGTATCCACAGAGAGCGATGTAAAGAAAATAACAGAGCTGAAAAAGAACAATTTTGATTGAGAAGTAGATTTAAATAGAATTTAATTTAAAGAAAATTTAATTGATTAAAACACTAAGGCATTGGGTTCCACTTTCAACATAAGCATGAAATTCATATTAATTTGATCCATAAAAGATGTTCATAAAAGTAATTGTTCAAATATTTAAAACTCTTTTTAAGCTTCCTTGAGAAATATTTTAAGCATAACCTATACCATTTGGCGACAAACTATCAAAAAATAATCTTTACTTATTCTAACGAGTGATGCTACACTTATTATATTTTTCTTTCTTAACAGCTTTCAAACAAACCCCTTCAATCACCTCTTTATTACTATCCTACCCCCTTCCCGCTGTAACTATTTTTCCTTCCCGAAATTTCCTTCCGTGCCCTCTGCGCATAGACAACAGGCAGCGGAGCTGAATCAATCTATATGTGCGAAGCTTTAGGACGCAGTGGTTGCTCAATTCATCAAGAACACTGTAAGAATTTTATGTTTAATTCTTTAATTTTATTATTACGTCGCCTATGAAAAATGTTCTAAGCCTAAATTGTTTTCGGCTACTGCAATTCCTAGGGATTGAAAATTCAGAATTTTCATATAGGTCCATAAGGTCAATTCGATTAATTTTGCTTGGCATTTAAGCAAATTCCGTACTTGAATTTGGTAAAAGGATTTCATTTTTTTTCTTGCTTGAATCTTATTATCTTCTGCTCAGTTTAATACCTGAATCATGAACTGAAAATGAATAACCTCATGTGTACTGTAAATTCTTTTACTGAGTTTGAGATATTTGATTGTGCTCTGTTTTTTTTTTTTTCCCTTGATATTGACGACTTTGATTATTCTTTCTCTTTCTAGTTTCCTTCACTGAAATTTTCATAGACAACAAGTGATTTGGTTGCTGCAACTGGGACTTGGGAACTTGTGGTGACCAAGAAAAAAATACCTTCTGTTGATTACAGCACCGATGAATACAACGTCGTTCTTAGACAAGCAGATAATGGATCTCTCGCAAGGATCATCGCAGCAGAATGACTTCATCGGCCTGATGAACCATCCCCAAGAGGTGGAACAGCAGGTGGGCTACGGTAATGGGCTTTCCAAGAAGGACAAGATCTTATCCAACTATTTCCAGTCCATTAGTCCCAACATCGGATCTTCTTTCCAGTCCCCAAATATTGATGCCAAACATAATCTTGGAGGTGGAGGAGAAGGATCCACTAGGGCATGGAACTCCTCCGAGTCAAAGTCCAACACTACGTCTCCTACCAGAGTAATTAACCTGCCTCAGAATCTCACTCTTTATCTTTCTTTGTCCATACAGTTACCGGTTAGTGTTCTAGGGAATTGATAATTGTGTTTATTACTATGGTAGTGAGATTGTCTGATAATGTTTTTTTATTAGCATATTGTAAATTTGCATGATATGTTTCAGGCTTCAGCTCGAGTTAAATGTTTTGTAAGTTAGTGTACTTGAATTTCCTGAGGGCAGTGCATGAACTAGGCGATAGAGTTTTGAATGATTTTGTTGCCATTTATTAGAGAGTAGATTATTTGAAGATGATGCTTTCAAAAGTGTTGATGCCTATCATAATGGGCTTTTATCTAAGTCTTTTACAGTTAGAAAAGGGTACAAATCAAATAAAAACTTGGGGGCTTATCGGAATGGTTTTGCTCTCTTTACATTGCTCCCCTTTTCCAGTATAGTAGCCTTCCCTTGGTTTTCTAAATAAACCTTTCTGCTGTGTAGTAGACTTTAGATAGTTATTGCTGATTCATAATTGAATATGAGCTTGGCATTTACTTTATTTACACTGATATAGTGCTACTCTTTCCATTTTTTTATACAGAATTATGGTTCTCTGGATTCCATTAAACCATCAGAATTTATTTTAGAGAAGGACCGAAATGTTCCTGATGCTACAATTGTGTCAGAGATTGACCGCACCATGAAGAAGCATGTCGATAGTTTACTCCATGTGTTGGAAGGTGTTAGTGAGAAACTAACACAACTAGAGAGCAGAACCCGCCACCTTGAAAATTCTGTAGATGATTTGAAGATATCTGTGGGAAACAATCATGGGAACACTGATGGAAAGATGAGACAGTTGGAGAATGTTCTTAGAGATGTATGTTGCCTCTTTGCCCTTCTTTTTGGTGTGAGCTTGACATCTTGCCTTGCATTTGGTATTTTAGCAATCAGATGACTTTTGTTCAACTGGAAATCTTATAAATATCATTGGCAGCATGAGTGATAGATGCAGGAACACTATTAGTTATTTTCTTTTCTCTATTTGTTACAATATCTCTCCGTGTGATTCCAGAACTATGTAGAGTGTGAAGCAGCGTTACGCATTGCACATGCTTTCACCAAATCTGAAAAGCTTAAAATCTTCAATCTTCTAGACATTTAAATTGTGTTGGGTGGGGTAAAATTTTACCCCTAAAAGATGACTCCAATAAGGAATGTCTTAGAGCAAGGTGTTGTCAATAAGGTCGCTTGCCTGTTTGTGAAGGTGCAAAAAAGCACTAAGTTTATTAAGCATGAAAAACTGACATTTGTTTATTAGCATACAAACGTATGTGTTTATGCTACTCTTTCTTTATTCTGCTAATGTGGTTATTCCTTTTCTCTGGTTCATTTGGTTATTGTCAATATCACACACAGGTGCAAACAGGTATTCAGGTATTGAAGGATAAACAAGCAATAGTAGAGGCCCAGCTCCAGCTTGGGAAGACACAGGTATCAAATTCCAAGGTAGACACTCAATCGCAAGTTTCTGGGCAGACAGTAGCTTCTGAATCTACGCAAGCTCACCAACAGTCTCCTCACCCTGTGAATCTTCCATCTTCACTTCCTGCTGTCTCTCCACCAAATGCTCCTCCGCAACCTATGTTCCAAAGTGTACTACCTTCAGTTCCGCCTCCAAATCAGTTTTCTCAGAACCAGATGCCTCCTGTCCCTCAGCGAGACCCTTATTTTCCAGCACCTGATCAAACTCAAGAAGCCCCAAATCAGCAATACCAGTTACCTCCAAGTCAGCAGTCACTCCCCCCTCCTACAGCAGCACCACATCGACAATTTCAACCTACCACTCAACCACAGCATTCTCAGCCACCACCTCAGCTGCCTCAACAGCACCCTTCACTTGCACCTGTTAATCCCTCTCAACTCCGGCCTACATTAGGCCACCATGCGGAAGAGACACCTTATGTTCCTTCCCTAAGCTACCCACCCAATCTTCCCCAGCCACCTTATCAGACACCCAGTGGGCTCCCTCCCTCCCAACAGTATTATGGTCCAGGTTCCCACGCCTATGAACCACCATCTAGCAAATCCAGTACAGGATTTTCTTCTGGGTATGGTCCTCCATCTGCGCTAGGTGAGACATATCATTACGGTGGATCACTTCAAGATGGCGGTTCCTCAATGAAACCACGAATGCCTTCTTCTGCCACAGCTCACAGTGGAGGAATTGGTTACCCACAGCTCCCAGTTGCTCGAGTATTGCCTCATGCATCGCCTGCATCGCCTACCTCTTCTAGGGTGGGCGGTTCTTCAGGTTCAGCTGGGACTGGAAACAAGGTTCCCATTGATGATGTGATTGATCATGTGACAACTATGGGTTTTCCAAGAGACCATGTTAGGGCGACGATTCGGAAGCTGACAGACAATGGCCAAGCAGTTGATGTGAATGTGGTGTTAGATAAGCTGATGAATGACGGGGAAGTCCAGCCGCCTAGAGGTTGGTTTGGCCGGTAGTACAGTGTGCTTGGTTCAGGTTTCTGTACAGGAAGTATTACTTGTTTCTACATCCTCTTTTCTGTGCACATACATCTCTGTGAATTTAGATGGTAAGCCCCTTCCCGTGCTTTGCGCTTTGCTTGTACTGTCTTTCTGAAGGATCTACATTCCCTGCGCTTGTGTTGAACCTGTTTTCTTGCTTGCCCAGCTCCCGTTAGTGATTACGTCTCTTCATCTCACTGTGTATTGACTCGTAATAATCGAAATTTGATTGCTGAGTTGCCTTTTGTGTGTTTTTTTTTTGGGGTACATAATTGTATGATCTCTTTTCCTTCAATATCTCTTTTCTTCTTCTTTTTTGTTTGTTTTTATTTTTATAAATGGTCTAAAACTCCAAAAATTAGAATGCCGAATTAGAAACAAAACTTGGAATACTATCTAAACGCCAACGAAAAATTATATTTGTAAAGCAGACAGAGTACTCCTGTTGATGTGGAAAATAAACCACACTAATTTCAACGCCAAAAATTGTATTTCTGCAGTTGTTACCAATACAAATATAAGACCCAGCACCACCAAAAGTATTCTAACATCTACACTCTGGTAGTAACTGCTGATAAATCAGGTGGACATACAATGAGTATGAGTATGAGTTACTTGATGAGTCAGATTTGTAATTTTCTTTTCCTAAAATACCCGTATTAATTTATTATAGCATGATATAGCGGGAGGAGGAGACGCTTTTGTTGTTTTTTCAATAATGCTGTGACACCAACTTGTTTATCTAACTTTTTAATACCAATGCATGTGGACGGTGGAACATAATATGGCAGTCCATGTCATTTGCCACATTATCATCTCTCGAAACCTGGAAGGTTCGATTCTTTGCTGAGAAATGACACGTTAAACAAATGTGCTTGGTTTGGCCGGTTGTTGTTAATTAGCGCATGAGGGCTCTCCAACAGCGGCATCTCCCTCAACCACTCCCTCGCTAATGACACGTTAAACTAACGCACGTAAATTTTGAGTTTCATCGCGTCTGCTGTCTGGAGGACGATTACCAAACGCTTCTTGGTGTTCACAAACCTTTTTACTGTCTACCAAAACGGTTATTGGCATAGATCTGGCTTCCTCGTTGCATTCCAAACTTCTTGATTGGCATCGATTACACAGGTTTGCTTTCACAAATTTTTTTCACATTATCCATGGGTGGACAATGGTAATTTTTCTTTCACATTTTTTTTCATGTGTTATTTTCTATTGGTTTTTTTTTTTTACCTCTGTTTTTTAGTTTTCTTTTCTTGCTTTTCTTGATGGCTTTTGTTATTTTTCGGCATTTCTAGAGTTTTAATTTTATTTTATGTTCGTATTTCTTTATGTGCCTAAGGACTCGTTTGGTACGTTGGACTATACTAACTAATTTATGTCGGATATTATTAATTTGTTCCGGAGAGTACGAACTAATTTAAGGGGTTGGATACTATTCCAAATAAATAGTCTGACCAAGTTATTCTGTTTTTGGTGCTCCATCAGATAACAACAGATCAAACTTTTTTTTCTTTTTTTTTTAATATTTAATTCTTTTATAATTTAAATGGAAATTGAAATTCAGATGACACAAATTTTTTTTTCACGATTTATACAGCAAGGTTTTTTTTCCTTCTTTTGACAGAGAGTAAAGACGAGAATAGAGCTTGTCACCAGGCTGCGCAACCAGTCCCATTGCAATTTCCCTTTAGAACGTTATAATGACACATCTTATAGCAGGTTGGTTGGTGCTTCAATTACTTGAATGCTAGGGGAGATGAGATTTGATAGGGGAAATTTGCCACGCATAGAAACTTTTTGTTTGATGGCCTATATAAAAGAACCAAAATCAATTCAGATGAGATATGTTAGCAATCCTTTTGTTTAGTATAATTAGTTCCCTTTTTCCATACTACTACTCAAACACATCATAACCTGAACTAAAATCCTCATTGACAACAGGAACAGCATCTTTCATTAGCTCAGTTAATCCATCCAACAGAAGGTAAATGTCATTTCTCAGCTCATTTGTTGTGTCCCCCACCAAAAACAGGGAGAATCCATCGCCCACATCAACCCAAGCACAGCCAGGAGCCTTCCTCACACCCAAGTCCCTCATGAAAGTCCTCACCCTCGCTAGCTTGTTCCAACAACCAGCAGCAGCATACATGTTAGCAATTAACACGTAGTAACCAGAATTTTCAGGTCTCATTTCCAACAGCTTCTCGGCTGCCCATTCCCCTATATCTATATTTCCATGGATCCGACAAGCTCCAAGAAGAGTAGCCCACATTGCAGAAGTTGGCCTGTAAGGCATCCTTGTGATAATCTCCTTTGCTTTGTTTAATAGACCAGCCCTCCCATAAAGATCAACCATGCAAGCATAGTGCTCCAAACGGGGAGTTATACCATATACACTCATCATCTTTTCAAAAAGCATTTGGCCTTGGATTACAAGACAAGAATGGCTACAAGCTGATAAAATTGAAACCATGGTTACATGATCAGGTTTGATGTGTAACATGTTCATCTCTTCAAATAACTTCAATGCAGCTTTTCCCTCACCCTGGACTCCATATCCTGCAATCATTGAAGTATAAGTTACTTCATCTCGCTTAGACATTGAATCAAAAACTCGTTTAGCTTCTACAATTTTGCCTGATCTGGCATACATGTCCACAAGAGCATTCCACAGAAGTAAATAATCATCAAACACTACACGTTTTGTGATGTAGCAGTGGAACTCCTTCCCATGTTGAAGATTCGCTACCCGAGCACAGAGGGGAAGGATGCTGGCAATTGTAATGTAATTAGGTTCAATTCCAGAACACAACATCTCCCTAAATAAGAATGAAGCTTCCTCAGCTCGGTCCATGCGGGAATAACCAGAAAGCATGGAGTTCCAAGTAATTATACTTCTATCTTCTATCAATTGAAACAAAGCATAGGCTTGCCTAAGGTCTTTGCACCTGGAATACATTGTAATTAATGCATGTTTAACATTATCATAGCCATCCCAACAACTACGAATTGCAGAACCATGAATCTCCTTCCCTAACTTAATGACTCCAATGTGGGAACAAGCACTCAAACCAATAATCAATGCTACCGAGTCCAATAAAATACCACAGATTCTCATTTGAGAAAGCAACTCAAGTGCACCCTTGAAATTGCCTGTCCTCAAGCATCCTCCAGCTATGGTATTCCAAGTTAAGATATCAACTCCAAGACCCTCCATCCGCATGCTTCCAAACAGCTCAAAGGCTTCCGTCCACATGCCCTTGGAGGCATAACCAGATATCATTGCATTCCAAGAGATCTCATCCCTTGTGGGCATTTTGTCAAACAAGTGACGAGCAACATCCACAAGCCCAAATCTCCCATACATGGAGACCAATGAATTATGTACAAATAAATTCCAATCCTGACAACTAGCTTTGATTGACTTATGCACCTCCCTCCCAAACCCTATATCCAATTTTTCACCACATGCCTTGAGAACAGACGGGTAAGTGAAACTATCTGGTCTAACCCCCTTATTGACCATTTGTTTATACGTAGAGAGAGCCTCATCCAAAAGTTTATTTTTAACATATGAAGAGATGAGCACATTCCAAGGAAGAGGATGCAATATATTTGAATTCTCAATGACAATATGAGCATCAACATGGAGATTAAAGCTTGAGTAAAGAGTAACCAGCTTGGAAACCAAAATGGGGTGTCGCTCAAAACCCAATCTGACAATATGTGCATGAAGCTGTTCACCCTGTGGGAAAGATTTATGGTTGGCGCAAGACAAGAGAAGAGAAGAGATGGGATGCAAGATAAGATCACAAGAAGTGGCAGAAGAGCCATGGAGCTTGAGAAGAGAGAAAGCTTTGAATGCTTTTGATAAATTACCCTCGCTTGCATAGTTCTTAATGGATATAAGAAGAGAATCTATCATAGAATCATCAA